ACAACTAGCTGCGACTGCTTCCCCCGTTGTGGCAAATATAGATTTTCCGGTCATATAATACAACGAAAGTCTTTTGGCAAGAGGTAGAAACAGATCTGATTTATTTTTGCATGCTTGTAGGATCGGTGAAAGGTTTTTCTTGAAGAAAGAAGGGGTTGAAACAAAAGTTTTTAAAATCCAGAAGAAGGTAAATAAATTGTTTTTGACACTAGAAAAGAACAGTTTTGTAGGATATCTTTTATCGTGAAAAGCCATTTTGGCAACAAAGGTACATTTTTCATTTTGGGTCCATATCCTATCTTCTTCAGTGCATCAAACTGCCCTTTATTGCAAAGTTTCATGCTGTTGTACCAGAGTAAGATTTAAATACGACAAAACTGTTAGTAAAGCCCCAGGTCAAAGTACCCTAATCTAAAAATAGAACAAGAGCATTTTTCAGTTTTGATCAATCATTTTTAGCGGATCTAATTGCCTCTTGCTGCAAGGTTCATGTTATTATACTAATTTTCAGTAGAGAAATCGTAATATTGCTGCTAGTGTCTTGTGGCAAAGCACCCAAGTCTAAAAATAGCTCAATGGGGCAATTTTCAGATGAGATCTTTAACCTATCTTTTCCAGCGTATCAAACTGTTCTTTATTACAAAGTTTCATGCTGTTGTACCCGATTAAGATTGAAATACGACAAAACTATTAGTAAAGCCCCAGGGCAAAGTACCCTAATCTAAAAATAGAACAAAAGCATTTTTCAGTTTTGATCAATCATTTTTAGCGGATCTAATTGCCTTTTGCTGCAAAGTTTCATGTTATTATACTTACTTTCAGTAGAGAAATCGTAATATCGCTGCTAGTGTCGTGTGGCAAAGTACCCAAGTCTAAAAATAGAGCAAGGGGCATTTTTCAGTTTGGATCTATCATTTTTAGAGGATCAAATTGCCTCTTGCTGCAAAGTTTCATGTTATTATACTAATTTTCAGTAGAGAAATCGTAATATCGCTGCTAGTGTCGTGTGGCAAAGTACCCAAGTCTAAAAATAGAACAAGGGGCATTTTTCAGTTTGGATCTATCATTTTTAGAGGATCAAATTGCCTCTTGCTGCAAAGTTTCATGTTATTATACTAATTTTCAGTAGAGAAATCGAAATATCGCTGCTAGTGTCGTGTGGCAAAGTACCCAAGTCTAAAAATAGAACAAGGGGCATTTTTCAGTTTGGATCTATCATTTTTAGAGGATCAAATTGCCTCTTGCTGCAAAGTTTCATGTTATTATACTAACTTTCAGTAGAGAAATCGTAATATCGCTGCTAGTGTCGTGTGGCAAAGTACCCAAGTCTAAAATAGTCCAAGGGGCATTTTTCAGTTTGGATCTATCATTTTTAGAGGATCAAATTGCCTCTCGCTGCAAAGTTTCATGTTATTATACTTACTTTCAGTAGAGAAATCGTAATATCGCTGCTAGTGTCTGGTGGCAAAGTACCCAAGTCTAAAAATAGCTGAATGGGGCAATTTTCAGTGGGGGTCCATATCCTATCTTTTTCAGCGTATCAAACTGCCCCTTATCGCAAAGTTTCATGCTAGTACAACCATTTGCACAATTCAACCTAAAAAGTGACTAAACAGCCCTGACTACTGTTCCAATGAATCGAAGTTTCTACTTCTCTGGTGTCAATTGGTAGGAGATGGACAAAGAAGTAGAAGATAAAAATTAAACGGAAAAAGAAGGCAAAAGTATTATCAGTATTATTTCTTAATAAAGATAAACGTAAAACAATTAGTGTTTATTTGTCCAATAAGGTTAGTTCTGATGCAACAACCTCTGACATGGCAGCTAGAACACAAAGTTTAAGGCTCTGAGAAAGGGAGTATAATTTCTAAATAAGGATAAACATAAAACAACAAGTGTTCAATTGTCCAATCGTGTTAGTTCTGATGCAACAACCTGTGACATGGCAGCTGGAACACAAAGTTTAAGGCTCTGAGAAAGGGAGTATAATTTCTAAATAAGGATAAACATAAAACAACGAGTGTTCAATTGTCCAATCGTGTTAGTTCTGATGCAATAACCTGTGACATGGCAGCTGGAACACAAAGTTTAAGGCGCTGAGAAAGGGAGTATAATTTCTAAATAAGGATAAACATAAAACAATAAGTGTTCATTTGTCCAATTAGGTTAGTTCTGATGCAATAACCTGTGACATGGCAGCTGGAACACAAAGTTTAAGGCGCTGAGAAAGGGAGTATAATTTCTAAATAAGGATAAACATAAAACAATAAGTGTTCATTTGTCCAATTAGGTTAGTTCTGATGCAATAACCTGTGACATGGCAGCTGGAACACAAAGTTTAAGGCGCTGAGAAAGGGAGTATAATTTCTAAATAAGGATAAACATAAAACAATAAGTGTTCATTTGTCCAATTAGGTTAGTTCTGATGCAATAACCTGTGACATGGCAGCTGGAACACAAAGTTTAAGGCGCTGAGAAAGGGAGTATAATTTCTAAATAAGGATAAACATAAAACAATAAGTGTTCATTTGTCCAATTAGGTTAGTTCTGATGCAATAACCTGTGACATGGCAGCTGGAACACAAAGTTTAAGGCGCTGAGAAAGGGAGTATAATTTCTAAATAAGGATAAACATAAAACAATAAGTGTTCATTTGTCCAATTAGGTTAGTTCTGATGCAATAACCTGTGACATGGCAGCTGGAACACAAAGTTTAAGGCGCTGAGAAAGGGAGTATAATTTCTAAATAAGGATAAACATAAAACAATAAGTGTTCATTTGTCCAATTAGGTTAGTTCTGATGCAATAACCTGTGACATGGCAGCTGGAACACAAAGTTTAAGGCGCTGAGAAAGGGAGTATAATTTCTAAATAAGGATAAACATAAAACAATAAGTGTTCATTTGTCCAATTAGGTTAGTTCGGATGCAACAACCTGTGTCATGACAACTTAAACGCAAACGTAAATTATTGTTTCTCTTGGTAATTCCACAAGACTCAAGAATTAGCAGTTTTTTTGTTTTCTCAAGGAACGTGTGTAAAAATTTCTCTGCAATTACATGCAAAATTAAAAACACTGACTTCAGTTTCCTTCACTGGCCTCAGCTTGATATTTTCTCATTAAAACGCACAGATATATAGATAGGTGTTCGTCTCCCTGTGCTTTCGTGTGATAGTAACGCATTTAACTTATCTCAAAACATATCAAAGTATCTGTAACGCCTCTAAACTCATCTGAAGTGAAGTACGAGCAAACAAGGTCAAATCAATTGTAGTTCATTTTGTCTTGCATGGTGAGTAGCCC